AAATAATTTTATGGTTGGGGGTCACCACAACATGAGGAACTGTATTAAAGGGGCACAGCATTAGGAAGACTGAGAACCATTGACCTAGAATGTTCGCTTTGTTCAACTTCCAAATAAATCCGAGACAGCATGAACAGGGCACAGCTGAGTGCTCTACACTTAGAGTCTAAGTTTTCTACAGCAGTGTCTTCAACTGGTCCAACCAAAGTGAACCCACTTGCCATCCTTCCCCTCTGGGGTGGCATTGGTCACTGCTGCCGGGAGGACATCTGAGGAGGGGGAGGGGCCCACACTGGCGGGAGGTTTACCTGGCTGGGTTAGTGGAACTTCCTGCACACCTCCGCTAATATATGTGGTTAGGGGCTGGATCAGCTGTTGAGGCAAATCTGGAAGGGAGCTGAAATCGCCCATGAGATACACCAGGCTCGGATTAAAAGCAATGTGCTCTAGCTCAGCCTTATCCGCCCGGCTGGCCCCCACACAGAAGGTCAGCACGCCCTCGCGCACCAGGGCATTGGCAGCTTGCAAATAGGCATCGTCAGAAGGGCCCGCCAGAAGCAGGAGCAGCAGCTGAGGCACACGTTCCTGGATCCTGCTGCCGCCTGCCTCCGTGAAGTGATTGGCATGGACATAGCTCAAGGCAGAGCCTGTGTTCAGGCCCGAGCCCCCCTTGAGCTGCAAGCGCCTCAGGTGAGCAAGCATCTCTGACTTGGTCTGGTAAGTGTCTAGAGAGAACTCTGTGACGGGAGTGTCACTAAATTGCACTAAGCCGACACGGATATTGTCACTTCCAACATCGAGGCTGTTAACTAGGTTGGTTACAAAGTCACGCACGTAAGGAAAATTGTTTTTTCCAACGTTGTCGGATCCATCCAAAAGGAAGATGATATCCCGTTTGTTTACGTGAACTGCAGTGAAGCACAGAGAACACAGTGAGACACACCCCTGACAGGGCTTCCCCATGTGTGCCCTTCCCTCGAGGGCACGCATGGCACAAACAGAACACAGAGGAAGTCAACGTGGCAGAGCGTGTCATCCTGGTAAAATATGGCAAGCAGCTGCATATTTTCCTCTTGTAGTGGCTGGAGCTTGTGAGGCACACTGATAGCCGAGTGTGTGAAACCGAGATTGCTCACGGACAGACAAAGCACTGGAGTTAGAATGTGTACAACCAACAAAATCACCAGACTCCTGAAGCAGCATTCCCTCCCTGAACTGAGCTCCACGAGGATGCTGTCCTGTCTGTGTCACTGTCTCCAGGTGCCTGCTCACAGGATGGTTGCCCATGCATGCTGAGCCCTCTGGGACTCACTTGACTGCACAAAGAGGGCTCTTTCCACCCAAAGCTCAAGAAACACCAGTCCATACGGCCCTGGGAACATTGACTTCCTGCCAATCAACATACATGGTCCTCTGACTGGGGTCCTCATCCCCCTGCCACTCTCTACTGCTCTCCTGTCTTATTAAGGGTCATATTGGTACTGGACAATAGGGTACCCAGGGCAGATACTCCAAGGAGGTGTGGCAGGGTCATAGGCGTGATAGCTAATACAGTGTCAACTTGACAGAATCTAAAAATTGCCTAGGAGGCAAACTTCTGTGCATGTCCATCAGGGAGTTTTTCTAGGGCCTTTGAGATGGGAAGATTCACCCTAAATGGAGATGGCATCAGTCTGTGGGCTGGGGTCCTGGACAGAATACAAAGGAGAAAGTCCGGCTGAGAAGCAGTATCCGTCTGTCTCTGTTCTTGACTGTGCACATGACCAGCTACCTCAAGCTCCTGCTGCCCTGCCTCCCCCACCATAGTGGACAGCACCCTCAAACTGTGAGCCCGAATCAACTCTTCATCCTCCAATACATTGTTTTCGTCATGTGTTTCGTCACGGATATCAGAGACAGTTAGGTGACAGTAAAATGCAAAGAGATTATATGCCGTGTTAGGTGAAAATTCTTTGCATGAAGAAAAGTTTATCCGTGGGTCCATATGTAGGTATTCAACTAAGGCTCAAAAACACTTGGAAAAAATGTACTGAATATGATTATGCCCCGTCAGCATTTCTTCCGATTGGCCATAATGCTATATATAAGAGGTTGTACACAAATTGCATTTGAGCATTTCACCATCGTAACCAAGGCATTTGAGCATCTGTGGACTTCTGTATCCATGGGTAGAGGGAACTGACCCATCCGCTATGTATCCTGAAGGACACAGTTAGAGCTTGCTACTCCCCACCCATGCCTCACTTAATTCAGACTAACTGGATCCTGTGTTCATTCATCAAATTTAACTTTGGCTATAAAACAGAGGATTCGGGAGAAACAGACAGAGAGAGGGAGAGAGAGAAAAAGAGAGAGAGAAGGAGAGAGAAGGGGGAGCTTGAGAACTCTCAAGACAAGTGGTCTGAGAAGCAAGCAGGCACCCATGCAATAGGTTCATGCACTGTCCAGTCCTTCAGTGTGAGGTCTGTGAGGAGGGCAAGCTGGATTCCAGGATATTCATCTTCTCTTCGTTGCGGACGGAGGTTTGTGTTTCCCTAGTTCACAGGCTGAGCTTTACGGTGTCTTTAGGAATAGCTCTGCACTGTCAGTCATATAAAGTGAGGGACCTGAAGGACCATGGGCTTGGTCTTCACTCCCACCTATCAGTACACTTTCCTGTTGAAGGGAACCCCTCATCCAGAGAGGAAAGAGGGGTTAAACACTGAGGGTACTACATCTCCTGTGAGCAGAGACACTGTCATCTCAGGAAGGGAAGGTCCTTGACTGAAGGGAGGTGTCTAGAAAGGGTCAATAATGAAACAGAAGGGATGTCAATCACAGGACACAGAGTGACTTCTGTGGCCACAATCCCTGGTGGGTGGCCTTGTGGTGCTATAGCTTCAAGTCATATGCATGCATTTACAGAGTGACATTTCAACTCTACAGTTTCAACCCTGCAGTACTCTGTCAATTTAACATCAGTATCCCATTGGGCATTTCTCAAAGGTTCTGCCTTCCAGCCCCCTCCTGCATGTAGAGAGCCCAGCTACCATACCTTCTGTGGTTCCAGTGAGGGTCCTGAGGGGCGCCAGCAGATTGGGTAGCATGCTTAGCAAAGGAGCAGGGCGGAACTCAGCAGGAGTGAAGACCAGGGAGGAGTCAAAAGCGATCTCTTTCAGCTCGTCCTCATCAGCAGCCCTGCTGCCCACGGCAAAGGCCATGATGCTGCCCCGCTTCAGCTCCTGGGCCGGCTGGCTGACCTCATCGAGGGACTTACCACCCGTCATCAGCACCAGGAGCTTAGGGACCCCCTCAGCTGCCCTATGGCCAGCTGAGCTAGTGAACAGGTTATTTCGAACAAAGTCCAGAGCCGAGCCCGTGTAGAGGGCTGAGCCTTCCAGGGCCTTCATCCTCTTCACAACCGCTATGGCATCCCTTTTGGTGTGGTAGGTATTTAAATAGAACTCGGGCTTGACAGTATCTGCATACTGAGCCACTGACACCTGAACCAGGTCTTGTCCGATTTCCAGCCTCTGGATGACTTTGGTAATGAAGTCTTTGATGGCATTGAAGTTGGACTGCCCCAGGCTGGAGGAACCATCCACCAGGAAGACTATGTCCCTCTTGTTGACTTCCATGACTGTAGATAGCAACAATAAGAGGTGAGCAGAACGGCCTCAGTGATCAGGTTCAACAGTGACACTGCAAAGCCTCCTATGCACACACAGCTCTCCCTTGCTCTGGTCAAAGTCTCAGGGGGGAACTGTCACATATGAGTGATGGGCTCTCCTCCAACCCTGCCTACGTGCAATGTGTTTAAGACATAGCTTCAGAAAAGAAAGTTACTTTTAGTTTCACACGCCACCGCTAAAGAGGTAATTGGCTCTTTACCGCTACAAACATGGATGAGTAAAGCCCAGGTCTGCTCAGAAAACTCTTTGTATCACTAATATGATCTCAAACCCACACACTGCCAAATGCAAATTCTGAAAGAGAATGGGCATTCCTCCCCTACACACATGCTTTTTTCCTTGGTTCTGTATTATGTGGCTTCCTTTGGCAGGCAAAAACAAATGTTTAGTGGCTTTTCATAAACCATGGGAAAAGAAGCCAGTGTCCAATCCCACCAAGGGCAGCCATAGGTTTTCACAACACAGCCCAGGGTAGAAATGGTAGTCAGTGGCATACCATGACCTGAGTGACTTAGCCAAAGCACAAAAACAAGCGCCTTGGCCAGAACTCCATTGGCAATGACTGTGACTTTGCCCAGCCACTGTCATAAAATATGTACAGCCTACCCAAGGGATGGGACAAGTCTCTACCAGACTCAATGCCCACTCCTGATGTCTCAGGATGCTGCTAGACTGTGAAAATACTAGCTGAGCTGAGTTGGAGTAGGAATGTTTACATACAGCCCCTGGTATCCCTTGTACCAGACATCTGCTATGACAAACTAATTTTATAATACCCAGCAGAAGAAAGAAGGTTGGGAATAAGGGCAAGGATCAAGGAAGAGCTTCCTGAGAACTAAGACACCTCTCATGATGTATCCTAAAACACAGCTCATTCCTAGTCACGGGGACCAGAGACTGGGATTATGGTGGAGGGGTCACTGGCATTGCCGTAAGGAATGGTTTTAGTATGACTGTGCCTCCTGTATATGTGCCTTTAGTATATATGACTGTGATACATATATACATATATATATATATATGTATATATGTATCACACATGTTTGCCACACATCTCTCACCCAGCAGACTGGTAGACAAATATCCAAGGAAGGGAACCTCTGAGAAGTGTCATTCTGCTCCACAAGTACACCTCCAGGTTGTGTGGCAAGTCACACTTGCTACCTCCCAAGTTTCAACACCTCGCTATACATTTTACCAGTGGTCCATGGGAAAGACAGATGTCCATATGTGGGGGTCATGGAAACTGTGGAGCATGGGCTCGGCTTTGTGGATTTTACAGTGTGCCTTGGGGCTCCCAGTTTCTTTGACACAAGTTCTCTTTGATTACAGAAGAGGTCACCTGGTTTGTGTTTAAAGTTCTAGAAGCTGATAACCTGGGGACCCCTGGAATGGCACTTTGCAAATATAATAATCACTTCGGGGGGAAGGTCCCAAGCCACTCAAAGAACGATAGGGTTCCTGTTTGTCACATGCTTCTGACACCAGCTGATGAACCTTTGCAGGCTGTGTCCTTGCTCTGGACTCCTATTTCTGTGAGTTGGGAGTGGGGGCTGCTTTATGGGCCATCTTACACACAGTTCTTAAAACTCATGATTCTCGGGCCTCTTGGGATTCTCGGGCTTCCTGTTTGGGATCCATCTCAAGGGTGCACCAAGGCTTCCTTTGCTGATCTGACAAGGCCAGGTTTTCTCTCCCCCAGAGCTCTGATGAGCCATTTTCTCTTAGGGAGTGACCTTGAAGGTCCTGCTAATCTCAGCCATGAATGATCTTCTTCAGCACTCACTCTTGGGGCTGACAACAGGACAACCCCAGAATCCCTTATCTCTCCCTCAAAATATTAGGAGTTGGGAAAAGACATCCTCAGTCTCCCAATTAATATCATCAACCAGATCCTCTCAAGAGCCGCCCTTTCCCACCATTGACTCCTGCCCCCTGTCCTTGGGGCATCAGTTTACCCTCTTGCCTCTCTCTTTCAAGCTCTCTGAAGGACTTGGGAACCCTGTCATCTGAAGTCCCCAATGCTCACAATGCTTGTGTCCTCCCATCCACCCCACCCCTGCTTCTAGGGTCACAGCTTATGATCATCTATAGAGCACACACACCCCGGAAATCTTGCACAACCTGCCACCTGCGTCTTCTCTTCCAGACAAATGACACCCCCACTTCCTCATCCAACAAGTTCTCAAATCTGACCTTCAACCCTTCCTCTCCCTTGGTCAACCCTTCTCCATCTCACAACCCTCACCTTGAGCTAGTCTCTGATTCACTAGCCCTCACTTTCCATGCACCCCACCCCTCCCCCATCAAACCCTCCTGGCAAAGCCTCCATGGTGCTCTTCTCCCCTGTCACCCAAGCACACGTGTATTCCAATCGCCCAAGCGGAAGTCTGTGTTCTACCCATGGGTGGCAGCACCAGCATGCTGCAATGGAATACTCCCAGGAAATTGGCCTCCCATTCTCCAAGAGGACCACCTCATGACACTGCTCTCTGCTCAGTTCCCCTCCACTGCCAGGGGAGAGTCTCAACTCCCACCTACAACTGTAGTAACTGCTGGCTCTCCCTCCCGCAAGCCAGTTGCTTCTCCAGCCAGTCATGACACTCTGTTTCTAAAACACAGAGCAGTGGTCTGCTTCCAGTGCAAGAAGCTCAGAAGACCAGAACTTTCCCCTTCATTGTTTCCTTAATCACCAGAGCCACTGCAAGGCAGTCTGAGGCACAGCTGCAGCTCAGACCGCAGCCAGGCAGGAGTCTCAGACATGCAGTCACCCTTTCTTCAATGTTTCTCTCAGAGCATCCAGCTCAGGCTCCTGCACCCTGTCCTATCAAAATAGGAGGAACAGGAGCGAAAGCGGGCACAACAAGCTGCAGCCTGATTGGCTTCTGAACCCACGGATACCAAGAGATTTCCCGGGAAGAAGTTCTTATGTATGGTTAGTTCTGGTGCCAAAGTCAGGTGAAGATGTTGTGGCCCTGAGCTTTCTGTCACAACTGGGTTATCACCAGATCTCTGTCTGAAATTTATCTGAAGGAAGCTGTCCTAATTCTGGCTGGATTTCACACTGAGGAAGTGTGATGAGTTTTCCTCCACCTCTACTCTATGATTAGGCCTGCTAGTTAGCAAAGCACAGAGGTCAACACCATACATGAGCCATTAAGGAAGCTTTTCATTGAGACTTTAAAGTGTTCTGCTGTTAATTTCATACAATGGCATGTTGACCAAAACATTTATTTGTGAAAACACCATTATCCCTTTTGCTAAGAAAAATTAGCCAGGAATCCCAGGGATACAATGGGTACAGCTACTTATGACAACCATCATTTCAAAGGTCCAGGCTCTCTCTCTGTGTTATATATCAGATAGTTATATATCAAACATAACTAGCCAGACAAATATTTTCACTCAGAAAAATTAGGATCACAGACTACAGATGCCAGCCAGAGTCTCCCATGAGCCTTGGCCAGGTGTTCATCTTCACTGTCTGCATGCTGTTGAAGAACAATGAGGAACAGGGTCTTGTGTTTAAGGACTGATCTGAGAGCATCCCTGTGTGAAGGCAACACGGGGACGTGGACTGAGTGCTTGGGGATAATGAAGCCTTTGGTAGTGTGTCGCCACTTGCTGGATGGTTTCCAACTGGCCTGTCTAGGGTCATAAAACTGACACCATCTGAAAGAGATGGACTCTCGGACGATCAGCCTTTCTGGTGTCCCCACACCTCCTGTGTTGAGTGTGTCTCTCTCACATGATGTTGATCGGCTGGCATTCTTCAAATGACTGCAGGTGGCTGTGCTGCTGTAGGCCCGCGATTTGAGCATACATGATAAACCTGTCACTCAAAACAACTCCTAACTTGGAAGCACAGGACCACAATGGTCTATGAATCCAATAGGTGCTCAACTGAGCCTTACCTTCAGAAATGTCCCTCTTGTGTTTACCACACTGACACAGGAGCAGACACTGCTCCCCTTTGTCACTTTTGGGAAGACACTATTGACGAGTGTACTTTTAACACACCAATAATGCCTTTACCCTGGAGTCGCGTTCTCAAAACTGTGGTGAATCCCTCAAGCCCTTTTCAAGGTGACTGGATAATAAATAGGTAAAACATTGATGCCCAGTAGTTGAAAGCAGCAGATCTGTTACATTAGCCTAAAGAGCACATTTTGCTTACAGCCCATGTTCTAAGCGAGCCTTTCATTCATTCTTCCATCTTTAGATTTTTCTGAACAATGCAATGACCATGCATGGCCCATACAACACTCAGCACATTACAGAATGACTGACTGGCTTGACTGGCTGTGGTACTTACGGGTTCTCCCAAGGTGAATCACTCCAGTGCCCACCTTCCTTTTATGACAATCACCATACAACACACCCCCATTCCTGTAAAGATGGCAAGAAAGGCATACATACCTTGTGTGACAATAGTTGGCGGTTGCAAGACAATGTGCCTTTGGGCCACACCAACAAGGTACGGCAGTAATTGCTCCTGGAGGTCCCCAAAGCTACGGATATCCGGGACAGTAAACACCAAGCTGTCATCGGTAGCTATGTGTTGAAGCTCTGCCCTGGAGGCAGCCTGGGCTCCAAGGCCAAATGAGAACACACTAGCCTGCTTCAGAGCTAACACCCCATCCCGGATCTCATCACTAGAAGGCCCGGCACTTATGAGAACCAGCACCTGGGGGACCCCTTCCTCTGCCCGGCTGCCACCTGTCCGAGTGAAGTGATTCTCCACCACAAAGTCAAGGGCCAGGCCTATGTTGGCCAACTCCCCCCCAGCAAAGCCGAGCCTTTTCACAGCATCCAGAACCATGGCCTTGGAGGGGTAGGCATCCAAGGAGAAAATGGTTCTGGGTTCATCACTATACTGGACCACCCCCACTCGGATCTGCTGATTTCCAACTGAGAGTCTCTCAAGGACATTTACAAGGAAGTCTCGAATGACAGCAAAATTGGCACTTCCGGTGTTGTCTGAGTCATCAATAAGGAAAACAATGTCGGCTGAGTCTTGTGCTTTAAAAGAAAGAAATGCAAAAAAAAAAAAAAAAAAAAAAAAAAAAAAAAAAAAAAAAGTGAAAGCATTAGAACAAGTGACCACATGCATCGTCTGACGTGTTTCCTTGGAAACCAATAAGAAACACGAAACACAGACAAACAAAACACAATGTCGGTGAAGGAGTGTGGAGTCTGGTTTAGTTCTGCATTCTGAGTGGATAAGAGGCAACTACTTAGGAATCGTGGTTGAAATAGGGCAGTCAGAACAAATTTTCATCCATGATACCTTCAGGTTTAAACTTCAAAACATCATACTCCAAGGGAGAAAGCAATATTTTTGACTTTTCTTCTAAATTTGGAGGGAAGTATAATTGCATCTGATTGCAGGAGAGACGATTAGGTTGTCACAAATCCAAAGGTTATTTCTAATTTGTGCTCATTTCTCATCAAAATAAAAATTTTGGTGCAAATGCACAGCTTAGGAAACAAAAGCCCGAGTTTGTGACCAAGTGACTGATAGCTCCACAAATGTATTTAATTCCTTAGATAACTATTGTTCATTTTGATTCTTGAAAATCAAAATGGATGACTGCGCACGTCTGGGACCCAAAACTCAGACACAGTTAAAAATCCCTTGACATGCGATGGCTCCTGTGCTCGTCTCTCCAGTGCATGGCTGTGTGGGATCCAAACATGGGGCTGGGGTCAGAAATGCTTGTTTTGCATTGCCTCTATATTCAGTCAAATAATGAAGAACGATGTTAAGCAGAGTGACATGAAACCAGTCATGACATAATTATCCAGTCTCATTTTATGACATCCTAGTGGATTACCTGGCAGGACCAAGATTGGCTAAACCAAAATGAGTTGTCATCGCTGAAGGACATAAAAATGGCTGCCAAAGACCTCTTTTTCCCATTGATGGGAACTTGAGCCTTCTATTGCATTACTGAAATGGGGACTACACAGGGGTAAAGGGGAGTGATGGGTGAGTCTACAAGCCAGGGCAGGGAAGTCCAACACTTTAACTTGAGCACTTAAATCAAACTGTTCCCCAGCAAATGTGTTCATGCTTAAGGGTGTTCTGAGGCCAAGAAGAGCCTCTGTGTGAACATGAATATTCATACTCCGGGGCCCTGGAGCATAATTATTACACTGTAATACAAGAAAAGACCATTCATTTGGATTTCTGAGTGCCAGTGAGTGTTTTATATTTAAATTTAATTTTTCCTTATGCCAGAAAATCTGTTTATGTTCTCACTGGGGAAAGGCCCACAAAGCTCATTTCACAAAACCAACGGGTTTTTCTCTCAGGCAGCTTTCTTGTGAGAGCTGAAGCAGGGAGTGCCAGGCTTCAGTGCGATCTGCCTTCCCCGAGTGCTTTCTTGTGAGAGCTGAAGCAGGGAGTGCCAGGCTTCAGTGCGATCTGCCTTAAAACTTAAAACTCCTTGACCACACAATCAGGGGATAATCCTGAGAGATTTAATCCCGGCAGATGCAGTAATTTGGAATGTTGCTATCATTGTCCTCCCTGCAAAATACAAGAGGACAATCACTTTCTTCCTATCAGATACAAGAGGACAATGGCTTTGTCACAGTGACTGAGATCTTATGTGTTAGCAACTGTCATACAATATCAGCATAAGACTAGACCTTGGTTTGAACTCCAAAGTATTCAATCTTCAGCCAAAATACAAGATTCCTGAAGGATCTTGGGAGGATGCAGAGCCAGGGAATGTGAGTTACACAGACCATAAAAATGGCTCTCACCATTGCATGGAGGACACCATAAAAGGTTTCCAGGTCTAAGCCAGTGACCTCAAGGGACACAGAAGGACCTGTCTCTAATAATTCTATCTACACAATAAAAGAGAGTTAATTATGATCAAGATCTCCAGTCATAGCAGAGCACTCTAATAATTCTATCTACACAATAAAAGAGAGTTAATTATGATCAAGATGGAAAATAAAAAAGATCTCCAGTCATAGCAGGGTCAATTCTATCTTCCTTACTTCCACTCCCAGTATTCCATACTCTTTGGGAGCCATTTCTAAGGTTGTAAATACCACAAAAGAACTCTCTGGATGGGAAAGCAGGCTGAACATCGTCAGCAGTTGGTCATAAAATGGTGGATAATTTGTCATCACTGAGTCAAAAACCGTGATCCTCTTACACACACAATAATGGAACACACAGAGCATGCTTTGTTAGCCGCGAGAGCCGAAGCCTCACAGAGACCCAGGAGCCCCGGGTTCTTGTGTGCAGCAAGGCGCACCAACGGCCAACACCAAGTCCACGAGAAATCAGACTGGGGGCTGTATGGCTCTCTGTTTCATGTCTCATGGGTCACACCCTCCGTGGCACCTTCTATGGAAAGTGTTCGAGATGTCCAAGGAAAAGCCCTAAGCCTCAGTAGCCTGAGTGCCCAGGAAACATCCTGCTCCTATTTCCTATGAAAAACACAAATTTTGAAGAAAATATGTGCTGGACTCCTCAGAATCACCTTCAGCTTCTGATTTAGACTCAAGGTCTCATATCTCAGTTGCAGTCACTTTCAAAGGGTAACACGGGGACATCTTAAAACACAGCCAAGACTAACAAGAAGAGCAGGGTGCATTCAGAATGGTGGCCCTTAATGCTTTCCGTGCATGGGCTCTTGCTTTAGAATCAAGAAGAGACTACAGGGCAGCGGTCCCTGCAGCAACCTTAGTCAGACCACAGACGTGCCTTTTCCTAAACTTTATCCAGGGCTCTCGATTAGGAGCCTGGCTACTCATTTTATCTTATGTTAGTCTTGCTATGGGACACGCAGTGAGACATGGTGTGAAGGAATTGCAGAGTGAGGTTAATCAGGAAAGAGGACACACTCATTCTCCACCCTGGTGCTGCCAGTGGCTAAGACATAAAAGACAGAGATGTTCTCTTGCCATAAAAACAAAGGTTTTAGCTGTACAGAAATATGCAGTTGGTAGACTCTTCGCTCTTGCAATGGTCATTTTGGGTTTTATCCATACATGATGGCTGCGTCATCTGTTCCTGTTCATTAGTTTGCCAAGGCCTTGACTTTGGAAATGTGCCTTTGTCTACTCATCACGTCTTTGAGTGAGTGAGTTACCACACCCGTATCCTAAAAGGGGTGTGTTAGAGAATCTTGGTGGACACAGACAGCTGCCCTGGGTTCCCCCTTGTCCTTTCCCCACATAGGAATGTGATGGGGGGGGGAGATTTCTAGAACACACCTTTGTATCCTATAACCTGGCAGGATGACACAATGCTGGAGGAGAAGTCCCCTCACTGAAAACAGGGAACCCCAGTAGTATGGATAAATGGGCCAAGTTGTCTTCTTCCTGTCTTTGGGTGGACCTTGGTGACCCCAATCCTCTCTCATACCAGTGCTTTCTGAGCTCTCTGCTCCTAGGTGGATGCCTGCCCATCTGGAGGAGGCTTTCTCCTTAAGGAAGGTAAAGTAACTCTGGGATAGTGTGGATGCCTGCCCATCTGGAGGAGGCTTTCTCCTTAAGGAAGGTAAAGTAGTAACTCTGGGATAGTATCAGAATATGAGTTTTAAAGTTCAACTGTCAGCTCTTTCAGAAACAGTCTCCTGGGTACAGGTGGAGGCTGTGTCTGAAGGAGACTGAAGAAGGATAGTCAAGCCTTTGTTTTTAAACTTGAGAACATCTCTTCCCTAAGCCCGCAGAATCTCTTAGGCACTATGTTGCTTTAGGCCAGTATTTGCTAAGCTCATAGGCACAGAGCAGCAGGGCAGGGAGCAGTCTGGCAGTGTAGACATTACCTGTGATGTCTTTAAGGCTTTCCGTATCCCCAGCCCTCTCTGAATTCACGGAGGAGTGTATACAGGACACTAAGTTCCCTACTATATCATGAAGTGAGGTAACGTTCTCTAGGTTGAAAACATGCATACTGAGCGGTTCGCTGGCTATTTCTCTTAAGGCTCTTTCATCTGCATCCTCAACTCCAACTGCAAACACGTTAACGTCCGCAGACTTAAGTTCCGCTGAGGGCAGAGCGAAGCCGTCCTCTGATTGTCCATCGGTTAACACTATGATAACCTGAGGGACTCCAGCAGCGGCCCGGCTTCCAGAAGCCTCGGTGAGGTGGCTGTGAATTATGTATTCTAATCCTTTTCCCGTATGACTGCTTCCCCCAATGTAAGACATGTTCAGAATATGAGAGAGGACTTCTTGCTTAGTGTGGTACGTATTTAACAGGAACTCGGTATGTGGGTTTCCGTTGAGCCGGACCAGAGCAAAATGGAAATCATTGTCTCCCACAGCTAAAGACTCTACAACATCAGACAGAAACTCTTGAACGAGCAGGAAACGGTCCTTCCCAGCACTCCAAGAGGAATCCACTAGAAACACTATGTCAGCAGCCGCACCGTTTCTGACATCTTTAAAAAAAGACATTGGTTCAGGTTTTCTCACTGGCACAAACAATGACCTCCTACAGATGCACTTCCTCCTAGATAAGCTAAGCAGATCCTCTGCTACTGCCAAGTAGTACACCAGGCTTGCAATGAAGGAGGACTTACCTTCAGAGCAGAGCCAAGAAAGGGGATACAGCTGCTGCTACACCCAGCAGTAGTCCAAGTCCCATA